TGAAGGATGGATGGGTGGATAGATGGATTGGCAGACAGAAGAGAGAGAGAGAGGATAGATAGAAGGAGAGATGGAGCAAGTGAGGGAGTGCTTTTATTTTATTTTTTTGTAAGAGTTTTACGGCGCTTGAAGCATTAATAGGTCATATAAGTGCTGATGATTGGAGGTGTTACAAGAGAGTAACAAACACAGAAAAGAAGGAGGGGAGATAAGTATGATAGATGTTTGTTTGGAAAGAATGAGCAAACCACACCAGAGCACCCACCAACCACCCACAGAGAGAGAGCAAGTGAGAGAGTGACAAAGAGAGGGAGGGAAAGGGAGAGGGAGGGAGAGAGAGAGAGAGGGAGAGAGAGGGAGAGAGAGAGAGAGGATAAGAGAGAGAGGATAAGAGAGAGAGAGAAGTAGTTTTGCATCCCCCCTCTGTGAAATCTTTTGGTTTTTTTATTCTAACTTTCTAATCTTTTACTTGTTTTGCAGATCTGCCGACGGGAAGCGATTTAGCCGTATTGTTCGAGTTCCTGGCCGGAAATCTTGACAAACTGGGTTGTCCTGCTCAAACATTCCAAGTAGGCAGTCAGCACACCATCTACCTGAGCTGTTATACGGATGCCCTTTACGTCGGCCTGACCCGTCGATCCCGTCGTTAACTCTTTAAACCCTGAATTTTTTTCCACCATTTCCTGAAGTTTTGTCTACAGTCACCTAAGCCTGGTGCTTTATGTCTCATTATAACCCCAAAAGCTTACCTTCCAGCTTCTAAATGGCGGAAACAAAGGCTTAGTCATTACTAAAAAAACTTGGTTCGGGAATGATTCTGAAAAACAAACAAAAACTAGCAATAAATTAAACGAAACAGTTGTAACTAGTATCAGCGTCCGATGGGGAACAGGGTTATTACCTCCGGATGCTCCGATGGGGTTTAAAGAGTTAATGGGGACCCCGTATTAGGAAAGCTTTAGCAGTATGGAAGTACGCCAAATTCCTCCAACCCCTGCCCGAGTCTCTGGTTATTCTCCGGTCTTGTATCGACAGTTTGCTGCTTCTGTGAGACTCGTTGGCACCCCATTCACATTTCATGGAATGTTGAAGGTGTGAATGATCGGAAAATTGATGATCTATGACCTCTGTTTGGGTGGAGGAAACGGAAGCAGTATATATATATATATATATATATATATATATATATATATGTGTGTGTTTTGACGTGGTGGAATCAGGCGCTCGTCAATTTTTGTGCATCTGGAGTTTGCTGGTATTATCTTACAGCTTGTTCATTTGACTATGTTTCCATGAAGATTATACACATCTATTTTAAATGGAAGTTGAGATATTTGTGATTGAATGAGGTCAGGGATGGCTGGTTTTAGAGGTAAAATTTGCGAGAAAATGGCTGTCAAAGTTTGTTTATTTCCAAAGCTTGAGAATACTTGGAAACTGAAAGTTTACATTTGTTGAGTGTTTAATCAACGTTTTTCAGAAAAATCCACATAGAAATATATTTTTAAATGGATGCAAAAGATGTTGAGCCAAAAAACAAAAATTAGAGAGAAAAAAATGGTCAAACTGGGGGAAAAAATGCCGATACCTTCGATTTCATTATTTTGACGAGCGTCTGATTTCTCCACACTGCCTCACATTTATCATCTAGTATTACTTTATTTATGTTGAAAAAAAACACTGCAAAAATTCAGGTCCAGTGTGAGAGATTCTGATATGGACATATCTTTTTGAAGATTGAGATTTTGCCTTTGAGTTAATGATTCTCTCTCTCTCTTGTCCTTGTGGCGTTTCATAGTTGAAGAGTATTTACAAGCAGAGGGTTTACTTTACAGTACAAAACTAGCATCATTGACAAGTTCCGTGTGTCTCTCAACAGCTGAGTGACATGAATGATGGAAGGGATTGATTGACTGGGCAGAGGTTGGTGTGTGGGTTGTATACATTCAAATGATCAAAATTTTGAATACCTCAAACATAATTATGCACTTCGTAGAATGACTGCCGGTGTGGGAATTGTGGGGCATATAAAAGTTTTGCTAGAAGGTATGAATGGCATATTGTGTTTGTTCGTGGCCTACTATACCCTGGTGCGGGGTGAGAAAGGCAATGGTGATGATGATGAATGGCTTAGAATTATATCCCTAGACTGTGCACTTTCATGGCTGCAGCTCTTGTCTTGTCAGTAGTTTAGTGGTTCGGCTACCGGACTCGTAATCATGAGGTTGTGGGTTTGGCGATTAGAGCTGCAGGCCCAACGTTGTGTCCTCGGGAAAAGCTCTTTTCATAAATTTTCCTCATTTCACCGATGTGTGAATGGGTACGAGGCCATAGACTGCGAAAGATCTTGTCAATATGTTAGTGATTCAGTGTAATTATAAGTGGAAGCTTGCTCTATATGCTTCCCAGAAAGCTGAGATTGTTTCAGAATGCTATCGGGTCTGCTGTGGTAATAATATACTTTATAAAGCTCGAAAGGAGCTTGCTGTTGAGTTGGAATTTGTACGATGCAAATGCTATCTATTATCTATTATTATAGAAACTTTTCTGTGGAGAGTTCGCTCCGTGCTCCACATAAGAGTAATAAGATACATCTTTATTGTCCCAATCCTGGCACATTGGTTTGGTGTTTCACCACATACACACACACACACACACACA